TCATCGCGATGGTGATGGCAATGGTGGTAGTGATGGTAATGGTGGTGAAAACAATGGTGGTGGTATTAATGACAACAATGGTGGCTGTGCTAGTTGTGAAGGCAGTTTAAATGGTAGCAGTGATGGTGGTAGCAATAGTTGCCTTAATAGTGGCAACTGGAGTAGTTGTGTGATAAGAATGCAATAGCAATGGCGGAGGCAATTTTAGTTATAGTAATGATGATGATGGTGGTAATGAAAGTAACATAAGTGATGGCGATGGCGATGGCGGTGAAGATGGCAGAGGTGACAATTTCAGGGATGGTAGAAGCGGTGGTAATGGAGGTAATAGTAGTGGCAGTACTTGGGTCGGGCGTAGCGGTAGTGGCAAGATTGACGGCAGTAGTAGAGTTGATAGCAAATATGGTGATGACAGTTGCAGTATTCTTGTTAAAAAATAGTACTGGACGAAAAAAATTGAAAAGGATAGTTTTGGTCTTTCATAGCACTATGCAAGTGAGTATTGCTTATTTACTTCTTAGAGTGTGAATAATACTACCTATTTAAGTAGTGCTCTACCTATTCATCAAAATTGTATCTTCTAAACATTTTGTTGGAAATTCCATCAATCTTTGATGGCCATTGTTAGGAAACTTATCTTACCTTCCTAGGAAGATGTGGTACCAGTTGAAGAATTCTAATGATATGAGGATTTGATTTGTTGTAATTAATTTCTTATTTTTCCTCTTTGTAACCAATGTGTAACAGCTATAGAACTGTGTAACAGCTAGTGTCTTATTTTGGAAGATTTAAGAATCAAATGGGAAAAAATCATTGAAATTATTTTACGAAAGAAGTTTGCCATTACATTGCTTGCAATTTATGCAACGTGATAAAATGAAATACATTGAAGTAGATGGACACTTCATAAAGGAGGAGTTGAATAGTGAAGTAATTTAAACTTTATACTTCTCAACTAATGGTCAACGTGCAAATGTACTAACAAAAGGGTTTAGTAGTGCGAGGACTTGTCTCCAAGATGGGAATTAAAGATGCAAATACAACAGCTTGAGGGAGAGTATTGGAAATCCATCAGTTTTCCGTCACCAGTATTAGGAAACTTATCTTACCTTCCTAGAAATATCGGATACTGGTTAGGAAATCCCTCTAATATGAGATTTGATTTTATTTTATTTGTTTTAATTATGTTCCTATTTTCCCTCTTGCAATGAATCTGTAGCAGCTATACACAACCATGTATTCACTTGTTCTGAATACACAATCAATTGAGCTTCTCTCTAAAGTTCTACACATTTGATGGGTAAGATAAGGGACTTTATTCACCTCTTATCCAACCCTACTCATCGTACCAAACATGGCCTGGAAAGCTTAGTTGATGAAGTATTATTTACATGGTTGTGAGACAGCTGGACATGTGCAGGTCACATATACCCATGTCTCAAGAATTTCTGCTAGAGGAAGATTAGCGTTGGAATTTTAAAAGGACCTTGTCCATGTATCATTTTTGGTGATGTGACCGCGGTTGGAGGTCAATAGGGTGAGAAGATTCTGACTACATAGTGGAAGGTGCTTTGGTGACTGGTTCCATAATTGAGGATCTTGTGACTGTGGATGCTGGGAATCAGTCCCCACTTCTCAATCGTGAGGGCATGAGTTTTGATCACAGTCCTAATTTTAGGTACTTCCAGGCCCCCATAGTAAGGGGATTCTTTGAAAATTTGATTGCTGCCTAGCATCAATTCAAGAAGAGAAGTTTTCCAATGCCTAGACTCTAGTCAATGAATAGGAGTTGGTTAAAAGATTAGAAATAATTAGTGATACTAAACCACTATTGTATGGGTAATGATACAAAACCCGGCCCTTTTCTTAGAAACTATGGAAACGATGCAATTGCCAATTAAACTATGAAGTTTACTCCAGATTTAATAAGTCTATGTAGAGCTTCATGGATGCTGTGGTTTAAGTTACAATTGACCTCTTTTGAGTAGTTTGGAGGGCAAATTGATTTCTCTCATGGTCCATATTTAGCATATGAGATCTGATTGTGTTAAGCATTTCTTTTCTCTTTACCGTTTGTTGTCTTTGCCTGATTATATATTTAGTTATTTTTCAATATTTTCTTTCCATTTCATCCTACAAGTTATCTGATTTTATAGGTTGCATTGCCATTAACATTGGTCATTATAAGCTCCACAGGTATCCTACATTCTTCGATGATATTGCGGCACGTTTACTTCCTATCATCCCCTTGATTGTCTATCGCCTGATTGAGAATGATGCCATAGATCTAGCTGACAGAGTTCTGGCCATGTATTCTGCATTTTTAGCATACCACCCTCTAAGATTTACATTTGTTCGTGATATACTTGCATATTTCTATGGTCATCTTCCTGGGAAGCTCATTGTCCGAATTTTGAATGTGCTCGATCTAAGTAAGGTAACTACACTATTTATGTTGTGGTTTTATTTCCTTGTTTCTTGTTTCTTTTTTGAATGAAAGTATATTCTTGTTTTCTTCATTTCAATGAAAGTATATCTTGCTTTATTGATTTTTCAGATTCCCTTTTCTGAGTCGTTCCCACAGCACATCAGTTCATCAAATCCTGTCATCTGTCCACCTCTTGACTATTTTGCAACTCTTTTGTTGGGTCTTGTCAATAATGTCATACCGCCATTGAATAGCAACTCAAAAGCTGGATCAATGGCAGATGCTTCAAATAACTCAGTGCGTGCTCCTCATAACAAAACTCCAGGAGCGTCACAGCATGGGCCAATGAATGCTTTTGAGGGCCAAAAGGCATTTTATCAAATTCAAGACCCTGGAACATATACCCAGTTGGTTCTTGAAACAGCAGTGATAGAGATACTCTCACTTCCAGTATCTGCATCTCAAATTGTTTCATCTCTAGTTCAAATCATTATTAATATACAACCAACACTAATTCAGTCTGGCAATGGTCTCCATGGTGCTTCAAATGGCACTGGACAAGGTTCAGTTTTACCAACATCTCCCTCCGGAGGAAGTACAGATTCTTTGAGTGCAAGTAGATCAACGCCTTCAGTTTCAGGGATTAATACATCTAGTTTTGTTTCGCGAAGTGGTTATACCTGTCAACAACTATCTTGCTTATTTATCCAAGCTTGTGGTCTCCTTTTGGCTCAACTCCCTCCTGATTTCCACTTACAACTTTATATGGAAGCAGCACGTATAATAAAGGAGAGTTGGTGGCTCACTGATGGAAAAAGGTCTCTGGGTGAATTGGATTCAGCTGTTGGCTATGCTTTGTTAGATCCAACATGG